TTATGTAAATTGTGTTGATGGCCATTTACCTTTAGTGCTGAAACACATGCACAAATAAAGCAAACCCGGAAATTGACTCAAAAGTTCAAGAGTTTATATACACAATGACAAGTTACAACCAAACATTTCACTTCTATTCAAATGAAGTAGGCAGCAATCATGCATCATGTGGGTGGGGTTTTCCTTGTATTGGTGAGTTACTGTCACAAGTCTGATGGTCATAGGAAATATGAAACATATTACGATATAACTATGTTTTTCAATATAAAGAAAACCCCACTTAAGATGACTAACATATTGCTGGACAAACTACACTACTAAATTTGTTCTAATAGAAGCACATAAACATTAAATAAAAAAAATCTACATTCTTTTATTTTCAAGATTTAATGAAGACATAATTCAGCGAAATTTACTGACATAAAATTACAGCAGTTTATGATGCCTTTAAGGGAGCATCATTAGAAATGATAGGGGGGGGGGCTATATTTCTTGTTAGATGCACTGCTAAAAAAATTATTTTATTTTATTTTTAATTATTGGTGCACATATTCCTCTGTGCTGACACCCCTAATATTGTAATGAAATCAACACGTATTGTAGGACAGTGTTGAAGAATACTGTAACCATATTTAATTTTCATTTTGCTATTTTGGCTTGAACATGCAAGTGAAATTTGCCAAATTAAATGACAAATGAAAAATCTGATTTTAAATACAATTAAATATCAAAATAATTAAGTTAAATAAATGTGAAAATTAATGCATCTACAGTAGAACTACATGAATCAGGAGATTTCTGTGACAAGATAATTGTGAATTATTTATCACCTTTAACAAATGAAACCTGTGTAATTTATTTCTACATTTAAAAGAAAATGTGATCAATATCTGTAGTGAATCAAAAATTCAGTCCATGGGGAAGATAGCCATGGCATGAAACTTTAACCCAGTAACGGCCATGCTTACACACAGGACAACTTTGATCACCGACGGTCACCTCATGTAACTGCTTGTTAATAAATATCTATAGGGCTAAATTTCAAAGTTCATAGTATGGAAGAATAGAGTATTGCATCATTTTTTTAATTTTCGTTATTTAAATCACATTGGTGATTGGTATCTCATGAACATTTGGGTAATTTTTGTAGTTTTATAAGTGAACCAGTTGGACTGCAATCAAATATTGAAGTAAACAATGATATAATAATTGGTACAAAACTATGACCGTACATATTTTAGAAAAACATGTATTAAAAAAAGAAAGCAGGAATTAGATAACTATTCTATTTATAATTTTTTTGAATGGGTGGAATTTTTGCTTAATTTGAATAAGAATACATTGAGTATATATATGCTGGTCTTGTTTTTTTTTTTATAATTGAGTAAACAACTTCACAAATATTTTATTTTTTGTATTATTATAATTTGTTGTGCCCTTATTGCTTTATTTTTTGTTGAGTTTGTCCTGTGTCAACAAAAATAGATTTTAATTAATTAGTGTCTGTAGTGTAGCCCAGACATGTTAGGCGATCCTGTACAGTATATGAATGTATTATACACACTTCATGTCAACCAAATTTACAAAGCGTGATTCTCCAAAAAATAATATACATCAAAAAAACAGCACAGTACACGTACAGTACCCAAAACTACAAATGGGCGGGGATCCATAACGAAATTCGAGATTGCACGTCCAAACAGAAAATCGCTAGAAGTTTAACTATTCAAATCAACTCACTTACAGGTTTTACAATCTAAATCTGAATTCCAAGTCGTTACACTTTCTATAACTGTGTTACTACTAAAATAGAAAACCCCGAGAAAGGCCCCACTTTTAGTTTCACATTGACTTACCTGAGACTGATCCTGACAAACGGTCAAAATCTGTTTCTTCTTGTGCCGTGGCCATCTCAATTACCTCCACCTTCAATATTCCAAAAACAACTTCACGATTTTCACGGCTTGTCCATACACAGATATTACAACGCGCTTCCCATGTGACAAACTCTACTTTGGTTAATATTTCACCGACAAGTAGCTATCGAAATGAAGCAGCAGCCATGTTTGATATGAGAGAGCTCTCATGAATATTCATCACTTCAAGTCAAAGGTCATAAGGTATGAGGGCGCTGTGCCTTTTTATTGGGCTGGCCAGCCGTGACAATTTTACAATTCTTTTACATGTAAATCTTTGTCCGACTCTAACTGTTTTAGGAAACGTATTTTTTCAGGTAAAGAAACAGCTATTTTTGATGTCAATATGGCTGCACATTATGAAATAAAATGCAGGCCCATAAAACAAAAGAAACATAATCTCGGTGATCACGTCAAGGTCAAGTATTGGCAGGGATTTTTTTAGCCTATATTACGAAATACAGCATTGTTACTAAAACGAAGTTGCACAAGCAAAACAAAACAATAATATTAAAATACATGTACAAATTAAATGTTGACCCGCTTGTGGACAGCGCCCCCAGGGTACAATGTATACTTTCCATCTCAATAAATAAAAGTGACAAGAAAGGGTAATGAAAAAGCGAGTGAATATAACAATATTTTCTGTATTAAAGTCTGTGATGTAAAGATACACTGAAGTCTTGTGATTTAATGATGCACTATAATGGGTTTACCTGATAATTAACTGTGTACTTGACACACCACCCCTGGCCCCGCACCACGGACGCCCACCCGCCCGCACAGACTGGGCGTACAAACATGCTGGGCATACAGCTGAACACCGGTGTTGAGGGACGGTGAGCTGAGTAAAGTTCATAACCATGGGTACCCGCATGTAAAGTGCGTGTACTACGGCAATGGCATTTCATTGACGTGTATACTGTGTAAAAAAAAGGAATATCTATAGGGTATCTATTTTAAGTTTCTGTATTTGAAAAGGAGTATAATTTCCCAAAAATAAGTTCGTGTTTAGAGGCTTTTTTGAAAAGCTATACTTCAGTATGGGTACCAGGTCTGGATTGGAGACCCGCCCTGGGAATGAAACAGACATGACTACAATTTTTAATAGGTGGCATTTAATAATTAACAGATTCTGAATAAATGAGTGTCTGCTTAAAATAGGGAAGTTCTACCATAATTTCCATATTTTGAAAAGCTCTGTTATTTATTTAAATGCCATTCAGTGTAAACTATAGTCAAAATATGTTTAATATATGCATCGCATGAATGGTACAGGTGCACACTCAATATTTTTACTGTAATGACATGTAGTGCGTGTCTGCTGAAAAATAGTTTAATAATTATTTCCATATCTTAAAATTCTTTGAGAGTTATTAAATGGCACCTGTGATTCAAAGCATTTGTATGCTTGATCACCGTTCTTTAACACGGCCTGATAGACAGTAGTATCGATGCACACTCAATATTTTTACTGTAATTAGTGTCTTAATCAGTGCCTGTTGAAAATAAGGAAAGATCTATTATGATTTCCATAATGTTAATTATTAAATATAACCCATCATAAATTGGAGTCAATTGATTGAATTGATTGTAGGCTTGCTAGCCTTTGAGGTGGAAGGGCCATAATTAAATATGCTATTTGTAGAACCAGACAAAGAGGGGTACTTGGAACCAGAATCATAACATAATAATGTACTGGTGGCATGTAATCATTCAGATATTAGAAAAAGAAAAGAAAGCCACGAAGGCACTATCCCAAGTGAAGTTCAATATCTGACAAATTGCAAGACATAAGAACATTATTACAACATGATATCACAGTGGCGGATCCAGCAAAATGTTTTTTTAAAATTTTTTTTGGGGGGGAGGGGTCAAAGCTTCGCTTAAGATATACGGAGCGTAAATCGCAGAGAAGCTATGCGTAATCCAGATATGAATCATCATGCGTTTGAGGGGGGGATGGCCCCCCCTCTGGATCCGCCACTGTGACATCAACACCTGAATCACATGTACTGTGAAACACTTTGAAAATAGCTATATGCTATTTAATGAATTTGACTCCATACATGAATTAACATAAACCTGAATTTAGCTGAAGTGCCAATAATCTCACTGTGAGAATATACTTTATTTTAAATTAGTGACATCTTCATATTCGCTGAAAAGACACGTTTTACATGTATTCTATAGAAATGCTTTCCTTTTTTGCATAACATTTACATAATGATCAACTTCAAAATATATTCATAGTCAGACATTTGACTTAAAAGTTCTGAAAGTTCGATATTTAATTCTTAGCTGACCAAAAAAGTGTTACCGGTAATTTCCAACCAAACTAGCGATGTTGAACATTACTGCCAACCATTGAAGGGTGGAATAAATTAAACATACATTGATACATATTTTACAAAACCAAGTTTTTTTTTATTTATATTTACGTTGCAACATTAACAAGCTTATCTACAAAAGTTTCCTGTTTCCATGTAGGATTGGCAGCCAACAATTCCCAATACCTATTAATCAAAAAATGTGTTAGTGAGCACAACAGAAAACTTGCTAATTGTACAGAAAAAAGTTTTGACAACCCTACAACTCAGGAATGTTAACTTAAAAAACAAATTGTAAACAATTAATTCAGATAAAGAAAAATAACTGAATTTCAAATGACTGTACACTAAAGCTGCATTCACTCTAGGGTTTATTGAGACTCATCATACAATCAAAAATGACAAGGTGGCCAACAAACAAACCATGGTTAACCATATGGTGTAAACCCAATCAATTATCGAGTTATGTACCAAGAAATTAAAACGTTTCTGGTAAAAAATAGATCAGGTGCACAAATTATTTTTATTTCCTTTAATTAATATTTTGAGGTAAGCAAAAGCTGAATTTCTGCAAACCTCTAATCAAAATGATTTTTTGGGTGATCTATATGGCAACTACAACATTGGGAAAACAGGATTCATATTTCACATTAGTCATTCGTACAAAAGGCTTTGGGAAGATTCCGCAAAATAAGATTGCCGACTGCTGAGGAGGTAGATATAATATTTCAAAAAACTTTGAACAGATAAATCTAACATGATTAATTCATCAATACACATTTTTGATTACAGATTTGTTATTTCAGTATTTTCCAATCTTCTGCATAGGAGTAATTACAAATGAGAGATCTATGTCAACTCAATGGCTTCTGATTCCCTTACTTATATGCTTAAAACAAAGTCTAGCAAGGAAGAGTAGTCCCTTCAAATCCAGGGCTGTATAAAACAATGTGTTTCAGAATATATTTTGCAATGAACGTAATAAACAAGATTGAAGCAATGCAGACGTCACTCAGTGCCATGTCCACATAAACAAAGTATTTTATGGGCGTTGTACAAGTCTAACAAGATTTTGAAACACAAAGTGGCATTTCATGAAAATCTTGTTCAACATCCAAGAAACAAATGGCATGATTAATAAGTTACTCAGATGCGACTAACTGTCAGTCACTTACTTGGGTTTTACAGTGGTTCTGAGAATCAATCTAACAGCCAGTTAGCAAGATGGCCTGCAATTGGAGTTTACCTTGTTCTGGACTTGACTGTCATTTGACTAATAGTGTGCTGTGCGAGATTCACTATTTCATGAAGATGATCAACATTATGATTTTTTTTTGCAAATCTAGTGTACATACTCGAGACTCAACAATGTACATAATTCAAAAACTAATAAAAAAAACACTAAAAAATAACCTGTTCATGTACTCTTATGCTTTGTTTTGAAAAACTGAGCCACAGCCAATAAGTCTATATTACTCAAGCACCAAAGTTTCCTGCCAAAGTTTTGAATATTTTTATGCCCTTTTTTCTATAATTTTGACCTAA